AAACAATTTTGTAATGCGGACCAAAATTTCGAAGATCTTCGGCCGTTAGCCAATCAAAATCGAGGATCTGCCGCGCACTTTTTGTGCGGCACCTAGGTTCAATCAGTGCCGCGCAAGACCAGTACGAACAGTGCATCTTTGTTTTTTGCCAGTTTTGTATCTATTTGTATCTGGTTAATGTTATTGGCGGTTGTTATTTAGATTCATTGAATTGGAGGAATTGCGATGTTTTATATTTACTCGGCGTGTAACATATAATAAAATTATTTTATTATACCGAACCATTCTGTTAGTAAATGTTATGATTATAGTTAATATTATTTTAATTTTATTGTTTGGAGCTGGATTATAATCATAACATGCACTAACGGAATGGTTCGGTATAGTAAAATTATTTTTTTATATGTTGCACGTCGGGTGAAGTTCATTTGTGTAATATCGACGGTTCTTTCTGTTGATTTTTTTGTTAAACCATTATTGTTATAGTAATTCTAAAGTTATTATGTTACGGTATTATTATCATGTTTGTTTTTTTATATAGAATATAGTTCTGGTTTATGTAAGTTTTGGATGTCTTGCATACTAATATCCAATTACCGTAAAGTCCCGAATATAAGCAACCCTCAAAAATAAGCAACCCCCTTAGATTTTAACATTAAAATATGAAAAAGGTAAAATAAGCAACCCTATAAGTAAAATAAAATTAAGAGTAATTTTTGTTAATATAATTAAGTATTTCAAAAGTTACTGAAATTAAGCAACCCTTCTAAAAAAATCAGCCAAAATGGGTGGCTTAGAGGGTTGCTTATATTCGGGACTTTACGGTATATCATAAATTTTTATTGCGTCAAGAAAAAGTGTTTATAGTGTTTATTCGAAATAATTCGAAATTTATTTGGTAAACTATTATTACCTAATTTCTAAGTTTACCAAAAAATAAAGTATTTATTTTGTGTGTTCCAGGTTCTTGAAGGTTTTTCGCTTGGTTCAGTTTCTTATGTCGTCTATCATCTTTTGAATTGATGTGAAATATTGATTCAATATTTTTTTTGTAACAGGAGGTTATAAGACTTTTCAAGAAGGTCAAGCGCCTATATCAGAATAGTATCGATATCAAATTTATTTTTTTATTTATTATGCTGCATAATTTAATTTGATAAAAACAACAAATAGGTTATACTTCACAAAAAATTTTTTTGTATTGATCTATAATTTCCCAATTCGCTTCCTTCTTCATTTGATTCGTCATCTTCTACAATATTATTATCGTTATTGTCAAGAACAGTTGAAGTAATCATTGGGAAGTTGTGCATTATCGGATCGGCTTCTTCAATTAGTGGATATTAATATAAATTTTCTAAAAATATAATACATACAAAATTATAAAAATAAAATTATCAAACCTTTCTGAAGAATGAGGCCGTTATATTTCCTAAAGATGCTTCTGTATTACGTGTAGAATTATCTAAACCTTTTTTGCCTTTTTTTTCAAGCTCTTGACGGCAATTACACTAATAAGTGAACGTTGTCTTTTTGTTTGCTTAATGTAATGCTTCTTACACCTTTCTCACAGAGCATTACAATCTCAATCGCTATTAAGTTTGCATGTGATTCATCAATATTTTCAGAATTGCATTGAGATCCATTTGTGCACTCTCTTCTTCCATATTATTCATAGCTCTTTATAAACTACATCTTCGATATCTTCAGGTTCTATAGCACTTTCTTGCATTTCATGAATATTATTCATATTCTGCTCTTAACGTTTCCGTCTTTTACCCTTATTTATACGGGTTAAGCATTCGATACAAATTTATTAATTTGTTTTATTACGAACATTTTTTTGAATTCGATTGATTGAAAAATTGGATTCCATTAATGAAATATTTGGTAAGAAAAGAAAATTTTAACGGCATTTGTTATTAAGTTACAATATATAAACAGGCATCGTCATTATTAACTACGACTACATTGCGTCATTAAAATTTCGGTAATTAATTAATTTCAACTCCGTACGTAATTGATCGTGGTGGTTATGCTAGGTTCGTGACTGATCGTGGCTATGCTAGGGTCGTGAAGGGTTCAATATACAAATTTCCTTTCTCACTCCTCCCTTCCTCTTTTGTAACGTAAACCACCAAATCAAATTGGTCTACAATATAGATATAAATTTTATCATGCGGTACCATGCGAATGTTATTATAAAATGCGTAATTTCCCATCTTTAGTTATTGTATTGTTCTACAACTTACCTATTATTCACGGATTTTTTTCTTAACAATTTGTACCATCATACTGTACTGTTTTATCAAGTTACCTGTTACTGTATTAGAGAAATCATTTGAACATGTTTTACTAAAGTAGTACAGTAATGTAACACGTTTGTATGTAAGTATATAACTTCTCTAATTTCTTCTTTATAGCTTCAAAATAGGGTGTATGCTTTTCTTTTCACTTCAGGATATAGGTAAATAACTTTTTTCAAAGATGTATAATTAATTTTTGTGTGTCAAGTCTTTTTGTGTATCACTACTATATCTAATTGGTATCGGATTAAACATAAAACGTCCAGAAGAAAGTTTTAATACTTGTGCTGCCGTACATTAAAGTTTACTAAGTAAGCTACCATTATACCGTTTTGGTAATTTTCTTTTTTAAATTTTTAATATTTATTGTATTCGTCAATCTTAGTATGTCTCAAGCTACTTCGGATAAGGTTTTAAATATTAGTGAACTCAAGCACCCGAATCTTACCGAGTATGTTATATTTTTACACTTTTTCGATCTTTTTCTTTTTGAAATTTTATTATTTATTATAACTTGCCATTACAGGGCGCCTCGAGTTATTTCAGATAATGTTACTCTTGAACTCGAGCATTCAAATCTTACCGAGTATGTCATCCTTTATACTTTTCGAACATTTTCTTTTGAAATTCTTTATTTATTATATTTTGTCGATTATAGTATGCCTCAGGTCACTTCAGACAAGATTTGGGTGCGACGACCCGGACGAGGCCCTTTCTCTTTTACACGCGAAGAATTGCAGAACAAAGATGTAAAGGATTTGGACGATCTAAAAAAGTTATTGCTAATTAGAATTGGTCATGACCCAGAAAGAACGCCAACCGATTGTGTCGCAGTTCGCCATCCCAAAAAAGATAACTTAAGAGCTTCCACGCCCATCAATGAATTGTACAATGATGATAAATCAGCATTAGAAGTAACGATTACTAATGATCGTGATAGTAAGAATTAATAATTTTAAAACAATCCTTGTGTAAACAATTATTAAAAATCCTACAATAATTTTTTTAAAGCAACTATTAGGAAACAAGTATCGGAAGAGGTGATTGTCGGTAAGGACTGGCTTTTCTTTTATTTAGAGAAATTAAAGCTTAGGTTTATTTTAAAATAAGATTGTTTGAATTCATATAATATATCTGATTATATTTTAATATTTGTCTTATAAACTTTACTATTAGCTGTTTCTGGAAATGTGACTCAAAGTAAGCAATCTATTGTGTATTTGTCATAGATTAATGTCTCGACAATTTCTTTGCAAATCATTACTATTACTACGAGTTGAAATTTCTGGTAGGTTTAAATTTAGAGACCGAATTGAATAATCGGCTACCAGTTAATATTTAGGCTAAACTGGTTTGAATTTATCATAAACAGAATTCAATTGGATTTGTGTAATACATACGTATTTTTATTTTGTCGGGTTGTCAGCAAGACTTCTGATATATTAAAAATTCTATTTAAAAATAAAATCGATTTAACTCGAATCTTAAGCTGAATTTTAGTAACCGGTTCTGACCTCAATTTCTGGTATATCGGTATAATAAAGAAAATTCTAGTTTTTTTTTTTTTGTGTAAAAATTGGTAATGATATATCTGGATTTTGTTACATCATCAACAACACTTCTAATGAATCTTATTTTTTAAATTATCAGATGGTGAAAGAAAATTTATTATTTATTGTTATAATCGTTTGATTGATTTCTAAATATCGTTATTTTATAAATCGTTAGTTGGTAAGTATTTAAAATCTGATTATGAAATTAATTTATAAGATGTATGTGGTTGCTTTATAATTTGCTTCTTTTCTTTAATTCTTAGACAGTGAGTACAAAGATTTAAGGTTTAAATAATATGTCCAGAATTGTATCTCCTCAATTAATTTGCTCTCTTCCAATAAATTATTAGATGGTATGTTAGCATAACATATACTATTATTTGGAATATTATTCATTTTAAACAGTATTTCTTCATTAACTTTAACTTATACTTATGATGCTATTACAGAAGGTAAGTATTATTATTATTATATTATTCAAAGATTTATTCAATATTTGGTTGTTAATTAATTTATATCCTAGTTGGTGAGTATAAATTTTTTTCAATTGTAAGTTCACGAGTATTCATTTACAACTTCTTTAATGCATATTTTACCTGTTCAAGCTTGTAAGTACTATTTATTAAAAAAAAGAGATCTTGTAAAACTTTCTAATTAAAATTTAAATATTTTTAGATGGTAAGTTATATTAGTTGGCGAGTAGAAATTTATTAATTCCATCATATTGCGCTTTTTAACAAATATATATTTTACTATTATTCTATGAATCAGAAAGTAAGCATAAGCATTCTTTTTAATATAATTTAAAATTCATTTTTATTTTAAATAAATTATTCTAATATTGCTCGCCTAATTTTTTAATTTTAGAGAGCAGTATGTATATACTTCGTTTTATTTTACTTTTTCATGGTTCAGGTTCAAAAAATAATTGTTTACTAACATATTTTTGTTATTCATATGAATTCTATATTTCATAACTGAATTTTACGAATTACTAGATTGTGTGTATAATTTACAGTATATTTCTTTATAAAAAAGTATTATTTCAATGAAAATGTTAATAATTAATTTATATTTTTAGTTGGTAAGTACAACATTAGCACTTATTAGGTCATTCAATTTAAGAAATTATACTTTTAACATAATTTGTATATTTATCAATTGTTAGAAAGTAATTATAATTTTTATTTGCATTATATATTATTTAAAAATTTTCTATAATTGCAACAATATTTATAAATTGTTTTTTTTTATATTTTGCCAAACAGCTGGTAAATATAAGATCATTATATTAATGTTAGTACTCAACAGTCACCTCCTATATAATCACACTCTCATTATAAGCACCATTTTTTGAAAAATTATTGGCAATATATTTAGGGAGTTGTTATTGCCACCTCCCAATTTGTTAGTGCCACCCCCACGTGATATATAGACTATCTCAGTAAAAATAAAAAATTTAAAAACTTTGAGCGAAGATATATCGACAATTACCCACTTGAATCTGATAACACCTTTTAGATTTGAATTCTATGGATTCATAGAATTCAAATAAAAAAAAAAATAATCGAATTTAGCTAAGTGGTTGTCGAGATATCTTCTCTCAAAATTAGAGGAAAATAAAAACACCTATCAAAGTAGGAATTGCGCAAAATTTTCTCTAACTTTGAGCGAAGATATCTCGATAACCACCTGACCAAATTTGATAAAACTTTTTTTGTTTGTATTATACCGATATATAGAATTCAAACAAAAAAATTATTATTGAATTTAGTCAAGGGTTACAGGGATATTTTCGCTCAAATTAAAGAAAAATCAAACTATTTATCAAAATAGAAGCTATGTCAAATTTTCTTTCTAGCTTTGAGCGAAGATATTTCGTTAACTATCTAACCAAAATTCGATAAACTTTTTTATTTAAATTTTATTGATTCATAGAATTCAAATAAAAAAATTTCTTCGCATTTAATCAAGTGTTTGTCGAGATATCTTCGCTCAAAGAAAAAATCAAAATGCATATCAAAATAGAATCTACGACAAATTTTCTTTCTAACTTTGAGCGAAGATATCTCGACATCCACTTGACTAAATACAATGAAATTTTTTTATTTAAATTTTTTGAATGCATTATTTGATTTAATTTCCTGTGCATTATTATCTCGTGAAGGCATCGTTCTAGATAAATTAGAGCGTGGAGGTAAAACATGCGAAGTAATAGTCATATTTGGTGCCATAAATTTCAGTCCACAAAGTTTTATCAAAGATTTTCTGATAAGGTTGTACTTTTCTAACTACATCTTCACCAGAGATTTGAAAATAACGAATTAAAGGAAGACAATTTTGAAGTGAATTTTTTAAAGCTAAGAAATGCTCATCAGACCATTGATCAGGATTAGGAGGTAAAGAAGGATTTTGAGCAATACCCACTTAATAGTATAATCCCAAACCTTTCCTTCATCCATTTGTAAATCATCAAGTTTTAAGATAAAAACTAGGATATTTTCTGGAAGAGTAAGAAATTCGTCTGAATCAAAAATAATATTTGGATGTTTAGCAATAATATTTGCACAAAAGGTTTGTAAATCCTTTAAATTATCATTCTTGAAACTAGCTTGATAAACACGGGAAAAGTTGAGGCGTAACCAGGAAGCATTATTTTTGAGTAAAAATAACTGGATATATTTAATCAACTCTTCAAGACCAAACTCATTAGAAGCAACTAAAAGTTCAAAAACAACCGAGGTTTTAAGATTTTCTAGAGAAATGGTGCCATCATAAATATATCTACAGTATTTAAAATATAAACTTATTAAAACCTTTAAAATCTAATTTAAGTATTATTATATTACATATACTAATAATACTTACTTGATGATAATTTCAAATGCTTCAATTGAAATATCAGGTAGCTTTATTGCTTTCACGTTTTGTTATTATATGTAATCGCACTTAATTTCTCTTTAAAATATAAACTTCGAGAATTTAAGATAATAGAATGTACTTTAAATGCTTGAATATTTGGAGTTTGACCAACTTCAATAATAACATTGTATTCGTCATTATTTTTAAGAAGTTTGTTTAAATTACTAGAAAGTTTCTCGAAAAACTTGGCAGTCATAATTATGGTAAATGAATGAACCAACTTTAGTATCAATTATAAACCGAATAGCAGTTTGTCATACGTTTGTCTTACATAAATAGTTACGCTAAATGTAACCTTAATATCATTCGAGTAGAGATGGGTTTCATGCGTGCTCATTATTGCGCATTCATGCGCATGATTCGGAATCATGCCCATCTAAATATTATATAGGAAATTAAAGTTATATTTAATTTAGGCCAAGCTGTATAATTCCAGGCAAAATTAAGAAATAGGAATGCAGAAGTTTTGAAAAATTCAGAAAAGAAAATGAATGAACATAAAGATGAGAAGAGTCGGGGAAAAAACTTTGCAAATATCCGATATTTTCCGGAGGAAAAATATAAAATCAAAAAAATTATATCATGCGGGATAGGTATATAACTAAAGGATTTTACTAAAACACACCTATGGTATTTTTACACCATAGGTCCCGTTTCTCAAAAAACGTACTAAGTAAACGGGATCGGGTCTTCTAAGTAAAAATGTTCATGACCCCCAAAAACCTCACGAGAACTGAGATCGGGACCTAATATTAGCTCTATAATATATTATATAAAAAAAAAAAATAATTCATATGTTACATACCAGTGTTGGAAATCTAATGTAATGTTCTCGTGAGAATATACCTTTAGATTTGAGAATATATGTTATTGTGTAAATGGTCTCTATGAAAAAAATTTTGAGAACATAATACTCGAAAAATATGTTCCTATAATATAAGCATAATAATAGCATAATGCCAGATGGAAATAAAACTAGAATTGAGAGAAATTCTGAAATTATCTGAAAAGAAAATGAATGAACATAAAAGACGAGAAGGTTGGAACAAAAATTTGAATAAATTTCTGATATTTTCTGAAATAAGAATTCATAAAAATAGGATATGAATAAATTTTGCTGATGTGATGTTGAGACATAAATAAATTTCCGAGAACATAAATATGTTCTCATGAGAACATAAATTTCAAAACAGGTTTCCAACACTGTTACATACATTAACTGCTAACAATACTTGATAATTTCGAATACTTCAATAGAAATATTGGTTCGCTTTATTATTTCACATTATCATTACAAGTAATCGTACTTAATTTATCTTTATAAAATAAATATCTAGAATTTAAGATAATGTAATGTACTTTAAATGCTTGAATATTTGGAGCTTGATCAACTTCAAAAATAACATTGTATTCGTCATTACTTTTAGGAAACTTGTTAAATTGCTTAAAAGTTTTTTTGAAAAGTTTAGCTGTCATGAAAATGTGAAGTAGAACAAATTTAGTACTAATTATAGAGACCTTATTGAATGTACTGTAGGGAAATCTTAAGAAATGCATTTATAGGATCAAGAATATTTTTAGGTAGAATTTGATAATGCATTAGAAAGATAGTACTTTAATGAGGTGCATTTAGGGAGGCCTCTGTTATTGGATAGCTAATTTGCTGCGTAATTTATAAATTTAAATAGTTATTATTAATTATTTTGGCACGAAGCAAAAAGTAATTGTATAATAGGATCAATTCCCTTTATACC